TTATGTGACTTCAAACATTTTGAGTTTTCAAACATGTCAAACAAATCAAAGCACTAAGGAGTATTGATATCAACTTCCATGCAAATCACCTCCAAAATAACTTTCTAACCCTTTTTAACCCCATTAGGCGATGAGTTTCAATAAAATACGAAACATGTCTTCCATCAATTCTGTTAAAGAATTTAATGTAAAACTTGAAGAAAATTGGACCAACAAATCACATTGTCCCATATTTTGACATTTGTCATTAATTTGTTTATCATTGATTAAAACTGTTTATCATTTCAAATGAGTGAGTTTCAATAAAATACAAAACACGCCTTCCGTCAATTCTGTTAAAGAATTTAATGTAAAATTTGAAGAAAATCGGACCCACAAATCATGTTGTCCCGTCAAATGAGCGTACCTGAAATCAAATAAAATAAAATAAGATATAAGGCTAAAGTAATATTGAAGACAAGAGAGAAATCTCACACCCAGTCTCAATTTAGTTGATGAGATGTTATGATTGAGAACATATTGACAAATAATAATAACAATAATAGAAACTGAAGCCAGTCATACCGATAAATCTGGTGTAACAGAGATGCTAGTGGCTAAATCTGGAACAGCAAAAGTACTAGCGTCTAAGGCCCGCCGCTGATTGCAATTTTTTGTCGACGTGACTTTTTGTCACTTAGTCAAGTGTCAATGAAGTCAATGAAGTAATGAAAACTATATTGAGTGTGCTCATTATGGTGACGTGATAATACGGTGACAAATAGTTGCAGCAGCAGGCAACACCGGAGTGACGTGACTGTCACTCGCCCTGTGCATTACTATGGGAGTCCGCTCACTGGTGACTTTTTGTCACTCGGCCGGTGCCGCACGTTCGGAGTAGACGTATGCTATTTAAAGTATTTGTGTGCTATAATAGTATTTTAATATATGTGTCAAATTACTCTGTAGATGATTGTGATATTCCAATTTTTATGCCTCTGAATAATAAAGATTTTTTGTTTAATTAAATAGTTAATGTAGTTTTTGTTACTTACCTCAAAGTTACCGTTAACCTTTCTTCTGCTGGAATAGCTTTGCAAAGCCAGCAACACATCAAAAGAGTTTATATACATATGAAGATAATTAAAAAACTTTGGTGGATACTGACGTAATTCAGAATATATAGTATATTTTCCTTTAAATAATCTTTCTGTGTACATAGGATGCACCCAGTAGCGTTTTTTCCATTTAATTTTTCTTCTACGTATTTCAAGAGAACAAATCACGGCAACCTTGTTGAAGTCCATTATAAAAATGAACACGATTTGTTACCCAAGAACAGATTCAGTGAGCGCATCGTGGGTGACAGCAGGTGACAGTAATAATAAATCACGGTGACAAAAAATTGCAATCAGCGGCGGGCCTAAATCTGGCACAGTGGAGGTGCTAGCAACCAAATGTGGTGCAGTGGATAAGCTAGTGACTAAATCTAGCATGGCAGATGTGCTAGGGGCTAAATCTATGCCACTCCTTCTTGAAATCTGTCCAGGTTGATTTTAAATGGTAGGCACACAAAAAGGTTTGACCTAAAAACCACTCTTTATTATTAATATGATATTTATTATTATTAGTAAAAATAGAAAAGTAAATACTAAAAAATTCTGACTCTTCAAAAATAGAAGAGTGATCCTGTTTTAATTAGAAAAAAGTGGTGCTCCTATTATGGTAATTTTTTTTCTTGTGAGTTTGTTTAATTTCGATCATTTTCAATTAAAATGCCAGATATATTTGATCAAATCGCAGACTAAACAAACAACAAAATTATTAGTACTCTGATGTTTCTTGATTTTATTAATATGATTTTTTATTAATTTTAAGACCACAATTTTTTTAATAACTGTCAAAATATTTCAATGCAGTATCCATCAGGGTTCAGTCATGTACGGACTATGTGGTACCAATAAATGTCATAATATCATCACCACTCAATTTATCAGCTACTACGTAATCATGTTGGACAAATTTATAACATGTAATGCTACTTACCAATAAGGTTCATGAACGTAAAGCATCGTCACACAATGTTATTTTATTCAGAGTCCGGTTGAAAAATGATTCTTGAAAATGAAGAGAACAAATATGAATAGTTTTTGTTGACATCTAAAATTTTCAACACCAATTGCTTCCATCCAAATTTTCTTTTTTCCTTTATTAGCAGGCAGCCTTGCAAATAAAACATAAAACCAATTAAGAACCATAAAATAGCATTACCTACTGAAAAATATAATTTTTTTAATTGTATTATAAAAGATGCATTACTCCATCCCTTCAAAAACAAGAAAATGATTTTATGATGTACAACTGTTGAAAATAAAAGCAAAGGGAAATAATTAATGCTTAACTGTTGAAAATCTTCAACGAATACAGAATCTTTTTTTTTTGTCTATATCTAAAGATATTTCAGCTAAAATTAAAGTACGTACTGGTGTAGTTATGTTCAGATGAATTCTGCTTATTTTGATAGGTACATGATATGATACATCCGATTATATTGCAATTAAATTAGCCATCTTGCTATTGACGGTTGCTACTATTGAACCGAGTTCAAACGCATAACAGAGCAAATTAGTCCAAATTTCGCAAAATACATCAAGAGCTCATAAGCATTTGACACTAGATTTGACAATTAACGTATCCAACTTTCGTACTAAATCTTAGACCATTCAACCTTCGACTCAATGAATGGGGTAGCGTTTGGCAGTGCAAAAAGCGCTAGCAAGCGCTTACAAGCGCTAAAATAGTTTTCGGCTCAGGAACACGATTGCTACGTTTCACGAATCACGAACAGCGCTGACACAATCCGCCATTTTGTCAGCTTATTTAATTTGTTTGTTTTGAAGTAGAAATTATAAGTTGTTTTGTGCAATATGTAGTTTTAAGTAATATCAATGACATGAATAGACATATACATGTTATTAACAAATTTCATGATTGGTAAGTTTTTAATATGAATACTTTGAACAAACATATATTTAAATTAGAACTTGTTAGGTTCCCCGGTTAAAACTAACAGTCGTGTCACTGGAGGATAATAGCTAAAACTTACGATTTGACAGCGCTTATCGCTTACGATCGCCATTTTGCTTACAAGCGTTTGCTAGCGCTTTTTTCTGCCAAACGCGCGCAATGGTCTAAGTACTATAAATACTAAACAGCGAGAGGATAAATCATAATATACACTCTTATCTATGATTATAAATGGCGATGGTGACCCGGCAGCAAATAGATTTTTCATTAAATAGAGTGTTTCAATGAGCCGCTATGATACTAGAACTAGTTAATCACAGATCTACTGACCCGCTAATACTGACAATTAACTAGAAATAGAATGAAGCGTGGTCATTATAGTAGTTAGTACATAGATTACTGTGTATATAAATATATATGAGTTAGTAGCTGTCAAAAACACTATCATCCTTTTTCACTTACAGAAGATTATGAAAGTTAAAAACAGATGGCAGTATTCTTACGATGTTGGCGTCGATAAGCGTCATGCTTGTATAACTATTTTTTCTATAGTCAAACATTTCAAGTCCATTAGTAGGCTAATGCTAGGGCTACACTAATGGTAATGCTGGGGCTACACTAATGAGAAACTTCAATGCCCATAAACATACATAACATAAAAATATAAACACTCACGCCTGTCACCCAGAGGGGTAGGCAGAGACTACAGACTTCCATTTGGCACGATCCTGACACACCTCTCTCGCCTCCTTCACATCCATACACCTACGCATACATGCTCGTCGGTTAAGGGTACTCCTAATTTGGCCCGTTTTCAATAAATCGCCAATTTGGTCGATAAATTTTCGCCTAGGACGTCCCTTTCCGACTCTGCCATTCACTTCTGCAACATAAATTTTCTTTGTCACTCTTTCCTCATTCATTCTTTCCACATGACCAAACCACCGAAGCATTCCTTTCTTAATCCTGGTCACAACATCATCTTGCAAACCACACTCTTCTCTTATTACACAATTTCTTACCCTGTCGTTCAGATTCAGCCCTAACATACTCCTTAAGGACCGCATTTCTACTGCGTTGATTCTACTCTCGTGCTTCTTCTGCCACACCCAACTTTCACTACCATACGTTAAAGTAGGGTTGGATACGTGCCTTTTTTGACACATTTTGACTCTTCACAATAGAGTGCAGGGCCCCATTTACTTCTGGAAATAGAGCCCATAAACGTATAACGCGATAAAGTGAGTGTTTACACTTGAACGGTCAACGTCGTTTCAATTTCAATGCCGTTGAACGGCGTTGAAGTTGGCGTTAATGTTACTTGAATAATTTTTATATTTATTTAGATGGATTCCATAAAAACACACTAGGATCTTCTCCCTATTTTTAATTTCTTCGATAGTTGTTTTAAAAAGTTATAATTGCACAATTCGTCGCAAAGCATCATTTAGCGTTGTAAGATTCTTAAAACTTTTGAGTCTGGACCCCATAGACATGGCTCGGTCTGCAGAATCTCAAGAAACGTATTAACTTTTTCATTATTCCGCTCCATCATAGCCAAAAGCGCGACCCCGTTGCGCTTACCGTGCATAATGAGACAAACGTAGTGTGGCCGGTTCAACGCGTTATTTCGTGAATTAATCTCTTTGATGTACTGCCACTCAAGTTATCGCTAAACGGCAAACGGAATTATTAATGCAGTTGTCAAATTAACGCATTTAGTCGTGGTATCACCTACATTCAACATCCATCAACGCGATAATTAATGGCATTTCTCCTTAGTGTGACCCCAGCATAAGAAATGTACTGAACGTCGCTAATATGTGTGCGTTCTTGGCACTTGCCTGTACTGCACGCACACAACGACACTTGCTAAGTCGGGAAGATCGGAGCGTGTCGGGGCGCCCACCGCAACGCTCCGCAATCACCTTTGTTTGAGTTTTGTCATATTTGGCGTGTCGTACCTATTTAACCTGCGCTTATACTTTACAAATATGTCGAAAGCATATAAAACATATTGTACTGTCTTTGGATGCCTCAACAACAATTCCTCAAATCCACAATTATCGTTCTTCAAAATACCTATTGAACACGAAAAGTGAGTACTTACAAAATTTCTCATAACAGTCGGGTAAGAAATATCAAAACGTATTGTACTGTTATTAGTTTGCGATGTGAACCGTGTTTTATTTGCTTAAAACTACTAGAGATGGGCCAAATATTCGTTTTATATTCGGTATTCGGTATATTCGGCAGCTTTACCGAATATTCGTATGCGGCCGAATATTCAGCTAAATCACCGAACATTTGTTAAAGCGGTACTCAAGGTTAGGACATAGAATAAGTATTAGTACGTTAGGGCTAGCAACTCAGAAAATGAGTTTTCCTGGCTTTAATCCCTTTTTAATAAATTTCCTGACTTTGACGAGGCGGCAGCAAAAATATCTAATTATAAAAGAAATCGCGCAAGTGCTTGACATATTATAAGCAATATTCAGCAATAAAAGGTTTTACCCAGATCAAATGAACGAAACAGTTATTGTTGAGATTTCATTCATTTGTTATTATTTTTCGTTATTAAACTGTTTAAGTAATATTTTAATTTGCATTTCATATATTTTTCTCTTTTTTATTTATAAATTCCTAAAATTTTCACATTTTCCCTGTTTCTCTAAGAGAGGGCTAAAATTCCAGCATGTCAGGAAAATTCCTGTCATGTGACGACCCTACTCAAGGTATCCACTGTATCGAAATGTACGAGTTGAGAGGTCTTTCATAATGTTGCTGTTGAAAGTATTGTTACGAGCTTAAGGTTCGTGACAATAAAAACTGCTGATTGAATTACCAAAATTGACACTTTAATTACTGAACACCAATTAAAACTTAATAGCATTAGATAGATAGATAATTCTTTATTGTACACCAAATCAATACATAAACGAAAGAAGAAGAAAAAAATAGTGTCACAATGGACGGTCTTATCGCTAAAAGCGATTTCTTCGAGACAACCTTTGGATGGACAGGATTGCAAAAAGCAGTAAATTGTCTGGTTTGGTGATGCAGATACAATATTTATAAATATATCCATATTTTTATATATATTAGAAATAAATAAATAAATACAAAAATACGAATGTATACTGCATATATAGATGGCACGAACTCAACGATTAAGATAGTGACTGTGTACAAGTTTCTGAAAAACAGGTAAAAACTGGGCGCGTCTCACTGACAGAGGTAGGGCATTCCATAGACGGACTGCTTGGATACTAAACGACCTGTCCATAAATTTGCTATTATGGGCAGGCATTTTTAATGTAAAATTCTCTGATGATCTCAAAACTTTCGAATGGGAATAGTGAAGGAATTCAATAACTATCCATAAGATAAGAAGGATAGGGAGGATTAAAGAGAACATTGTAAAGAAGTGACAGAATATGAGCATTCCGGCGAAGACGGATAGGAAGCCACTTGAGCTTATTACGAAAACAAGATCGAAACGTGATCATATTTGCGCAAACCAAATATGAATCTTATACAAAAGTTTTGAAGACGCTCAAGTTTATCAAGTTGCTTCTCAGTGAGATCAAGATAGCTGATATCTGCATAGTCCACAATTGGGAGAAGAAGAGATTGAGCAAGCGCAATTTTAGTGGCAGTAGGTAGAAAGTTCCTTAATCTGTTCAACGATCGAGCAGCTGCAAAAAGTTTACGACTAACCTCCTGTATTTGAGGACCCCATGATAGGTTCTTGTCAATATAAATTCCCAAGTACTTGACTTTTTCACTAACATGGATAAAATTTCCATTAAAAACAACTTGAGGTGCTTGAGATATATTAGATTTTGCAATCATATACCAATAATTATTCACACTTAACACTTTAGTTCACTTTATTTCACTCCGAAAGCTTCGCTCGTATCGCCAATTTAATACTGCCCTGATCGCGGCTTGCAAGGGCTTTTTATAGGCCTTTTCCACCGAATATCCAGAATATTCCAGCAAATACCGGCCCCGACTGATCAGGTGCAAAAGCTTTGAGTGTGGGGCTTTCTAGAAGCTTAGTTCTTATATTAGATACTAGATGGCGCTGTTGGTGGAAGTTCCGGAATGGCATTTTCTGGAAAGCCCTCCTCGCTCTGTTCCCCGACACTAGATGGCGCTAGTGCCAGGTACCAGACTTCAACTTAGGCACGCAACAGTATATTTCATTTATGGGATCTACTTGTATAGCGTTATGTTTTTGAAGCATTGTAGATTTAAAATTAAATTAAATTAAAAAGAAGAAAGCTTGATAAAATGTTTTTGGAATCAAACAAAGAAATATTACATTACATTAGTACATTTCACTTTACTTTGGTTGTTAGTTTCTCTAAAATAAGTCCAAATAGTAGATCTCCTGCTACTCATTTCTAACCTATAATTCAATTGTCTCTAAAAACAACACGTCGAAATACTTTTTTTCTCACAAAAAAGGTTAAAACATAAGCATGTGTCGGCAATTTGCTGAGTACTAGATGATGCAATAACATATCAGGTGTAACGGTAACAAATTTTGAAATAAATATATGATAAAGTTGAGGATTAATGTTAAGGATTATGTTAGACCAAAACACGATTCCGTAAAATTATCTAGATAGAAAAAAATCCAAAGTTACCTCCAAAATAAAAAAGGGTTGTTTGGAGGTAACTTTGGATATTCATAAAATACTTTAAATAAGATCATGAAACTTTGCATACTAACTGAACTACCTATAAAGCTGTGCTTATGTTATTTACTTTTTTTAAAATACCATTATTTTCACTGTAAAAAGAAATTACCTAAACTATCGGCCTCTTGAAGCGTGATTCCTGCCGCCAGGTTAGTTTCGCTTCGGCCTTGGAAGGGCAGGTTGTGTCGCTTACGATCAGAATACACATTACGCAACAGGACGACGTAAAATTGAAATGGGAAATAACCGTAATAAAAATAAGAAGCGACTGGCTTGACGTTAAGAAACAGGCATAAATATGATAAACCTAATGAAATAAGTGTCTAACGACCTATCTACTTACAGTATTAGGGATTACAAACATGTCGGTACATAGCATACGACGCGCTGGGAAGTGGGGGCGAAATTAGAATTTGAGCTGACTTACTATATCCCCTAAAACCAAGATAGGAAGATAGGTAGGTAACCTTCCTATCTTGCCAATTTAATGTGTGTTTAAACATGGAGGTGATATATTTATGTAGGGTAAAATCGCAGATTTTTTGTTTCACTTACAGACCAGAAGCCAATGTTTGATTACATAGTTGCATATATTTTATTGTATATAGACAAAAAGAAGTGGTGGGCTATAATTTGTTAACGATACACAACCCATCCTTAAATTATTTTTATTTTAAAAAGTAAGACCTTATATTTCACAAATAGGCCAGAAGCGAGTCCTAAATTTTATAATAGGTTTTTACTTTATTTTGTAACATTATTTATTTAAGTTTTGACTCACGTATTATCTATTTATTCAATGAGGGCTAAGATTTTGTTTTTTGTTTCACTTACAGACCAGGAGCCAATGTTTTATTAGTTACATATATTTTAAACTGCTCTGTTGGTTTAGTGGTTGTACTAGTGCGACTGCTGATCATGAGGTCCTGGGTCCGAATTCTGGGTCGGGCCAAAAAATTTATTATTGAGTTTTTCCGTCAAGAAATTCTCAGTAGCTTGCAGGAGTCAGGAAGTTGGTGGTGTTGCACCCCCGTGTACTCCGATAAGCACGTAAAACCCTTGGTTATGCGCCTGATCTCTCTCGTGTTGTGTCAATTTACGGTCCCATCGGATTATGAGAGTGAGGGAGTAGAGAGTGCACCTGTGCTTGCGCATACACTTGGGCACTATAATCCCGTCCAACGCCGATGGCTAGTCTCCGTTGAGGCAAGATGCCGTGACCGAAATTGAGTCTGAAGGATATTATTATATTTTATAGTATACTTTCCATTTAGTGATAAATTCAGGTTACAAGCCCTAAATGAAAGAAAATATAGATCAGGAGCCAACCCTCAATTTCACAATAGGTTTTTACTTATTATCTAACATTATTTATTTAAGATTAAGCTCATGTATTATATAGCCACTCAATCATGGCTATTTATGAGTTAAACCATATCTATCCATCTATTAGCCTGTATTCGTCTAAAATTTCAGCACTTTTTGCGATCCTCTTCATAAATGTTATATATTATATTCATTTATACTTCTTGTATGAATGGCGAATAGGTATGTAGTATGAATGTGTGGATATGTCACCATATCGATAACCAATTCACTTCTCAAAATCAGCTTCAAAGTGTCAACCGAGTTGTTTCATTTTGTTTCTGTTGTTTTCAGGCGCTTACAATGGCTGCGATTAATATCACGTGAAGATTTGACAAATAAAGTTCCATCTCAGCATCGCGTATGTGAAGTACATTTCAAGGCAGAAGACGTTCAAATGAAGACAATTCGCAAATCATTAAAGAAAAATTCTCTGCCATGTTTGCATTTGCCTACCCTAACTAAAGAAGATAAACAGACCCAAATTGATATAATGGCAGAAAATACTGCATGCCAAACATACATCAGTAATATTTTGAAAAATGAAACTCAAATTGATATAACAACAGCAAGTTCTTCGAGCCAAACAGAAATGACCAATACGTCAGATAATATAACTCAAACTGCCGCTTCGCTTAGTGCAAATACTCCACGCAAAAGAAAACTAATATCTGAATTATTAGAATGCAAAAAGCGGTTGAAATTATATGAAACAGAACCGACTGCGACAAAGTCGCAACTAGACATGTTTTATAAGCTGTGTGATCGCTTTTTATCGAAGAAGTTAGCCGTACTAGTAAAAGAAAAAATTGTACGTTAGGATGATAATCAACAATATGCCGTAATCGATGCAAATATTTTTTGTTTAAAATTTGTAACACTTAATAAATATTTGCTAGCAGTCTTTTTTGTTTTATTTTCTCTTTTTGTAAAATAAATTAATATATGCGTTTGTTTAAGTAATTTTTTTATTAATAGGTTTTATTACTATATCTACACATTGATACATACCTCATAAGTACATAAATTATCATATTACATCACGGATATGATAATTTATATGTTGTCTAGTAAATATGGTTGGAAAAATGGCACTGCGCTCCCGGTCTATAAATATACATGAACGGGATGGCACAGGATTAAAACTACTTTTACGGATTTTATCGCGTTTATTTTTACTTTTTATTTTTAATTCCTGACGTTTCGGGCGCTTTCCAGCACCCATGGTCACGGGGGACTGAGATGACTGACGTCCCGATGTCATTGTTAAACCCGGAGTACCTTCAGCTTTTTTAATTATTGTTTATGGTCCGATCTATGCAAAATGAACTGACTATGTCCTGAGGTCTTGCAGTGGTGTGCTTGGGTTTAGTTTTAATTTTATTGATTATAGGATCCCAAGCAGGTGGTAGTACCCAGCCTCCTTCTCTATTGAAATTAGGATGTTTTTTAATTTCAATAGCCTCACGTATCATCCTTGGTAGGAATCGGTGTTCTTTCGCGAGGATTTGTGGTCTATCAAATCTGATGTAATGGTTGGGGCCGTCTAGGATATGATCACAAACTGCAGACTTCCCGGAACGTTGATGCTTCACATCAGCTATATGTTCTTTTACGCGGGTCCTAATTGATCTTTTGGTTTGTCCTATATAAGAGAGACCACATTCACAATCAAGCTTGTACACTCCTGCATCTTGTAGAGGAATATGACACTTGACGGATGGTAGGAACTGACTAATCTTCTTCGGCGGCTTGTAGAATGTTCTAATAGAAGCTCGCTTCAAGATATAGCCAATCTTATCTGTGACACCTCTGACATATGGTAGTACAGCAGGCACACGCTCGACTGTGGCCGGCTTCACTCGGTCACTGTGACTTAGGCGCGGGACCCGAAGCTTGTTGTCGTGCAGAACTTGCTTGACGTGCTGAAGCTCGGCGGCCAGGTGTTTGCTGTCACAGATCCCTCGTGCTCTCTGTAACAAAGATTTGCCCACGGTAGCTAACTGTGAAGGATGGTGGTGAGATTCACCGTTTAAATATCGGTTTGTATGGGTCTTTTTCCTATACACAGTGTGACCAATGGTGTTATTAGGATTTCGGATGACTAACACATCTAGGAAAGGTAAGGAATTATTTGCCTCTAACTCCATAGTAAATTGAATTTTAGCGTTTATGGAATTAAGATGTTCTAAAAATGCAGTTACTTTGTCTGATGGTAAAATTGTGAAAGTATCGTCTACGTACCGCTTGTAGATCCTTGGTGTAACAGGTGCAGTAAGGAGGGATTTCTCCTCAAAGTCTTCCATGAATATATCGGCGACAATGGGAGATACGGGTGAGCCCATCGCCATCGTTTCAATTAATTAATAAATTACTTACAATACAATAAATTAATTGCCATCGTTTTAATTAAAACTTTTAATCTATGGTAACCGCGGTTAACTATGACATTTGGACGTTGAACATCTCAGTCCTGCCCGTGACCATGAGTGCTGTAAAGCGTTCGAAACGTCGGGTATTTAAAAAGTTAAAATATACGCGATAAATTCCGTAAATACTAGTATTATTTCAATGTGTAGTGTTCGCGTAAATATAAGAAATCATTACTATATCTATTATCTATACATAAATACATACCTCATAATTACATTAATATCATATCACATCAGATCATATTAATTTTAAACATTAAATCTGATCTGACACCATATACTCAGTGCTAATTTACTCATATTTTAATTATTTGGAATTTGTTGTAATGTAAAGCTAGAATTTTTTTTTTGACAAACATTGATTCTTTGAGAGGAAACTAAAGAAATGATTAACAAATATGATGCATAGACCATAGATACGTATCCGTATATATTATGTGCGTAAATATTAAAACTAAACGAGACTTAGCTGTTAAATAAAAAAACAGTGACAACCCTGCAACGGTAGGCGTTTAATTCTCGCGCGGCGCAAGACTTATGGTTGCCACACTCGGTCAGTTCAACTGATCATTCCAACTGATCAGTTCAAACTAAAACTGTTGATATTTTTTAAAATATTGGATTTTAGATATATCGATAACTAAACTTATATAATAATTTACCCTATTGAGTAGACTAATGGTCCCCACACACGGTCAGTTAAAATGATCAATTGAAGTGTGGAATCTTATGGACAGTTCAACTGATAGTTCCAACTAAAACTGTTGTTGTATATATATATATATATATATATATACGAATGTGGTCTCTCGTACATAGGACAAACTAAAAGATCAATTAAAACCCGCGTTAAAGAACATATAGCTGATGTGAAGAATCGACGCTCCGAGAAGTCTGCAGTCTGTGAACACCACAGAACACTTAATATAGCTTCCGCTATATTAGGTGTTCTGTGGTGAACACGTACAGGATCGCCCCCGTCACTACATCAGATTTGATAGATCACAAATACTCGCTAAAGAACACCGATACCTTCCAAGGATGATTTGCGAGGCTATTGAAATCAAAAAACATCCTAATTTCAATAGAGAAGATGGCTGGATGCTACCATCTGCTTGGGATCCTATAATAAATAAAATTAAATCCCAACCCAAGCATACAACTGCAAGACTCAAGATACAATAAGTTCATAGTGAGTAGATCTGAACAAAAGTTAAATTTTAATCTATGGTAACCGCGGTTAACTATGACATTTGGACATTGAACATCTCAGTCCTCCCCGTGACCATGGGTGCTGTAAAGCGCTCAAAACGTCCGGTATTTAAAAAGTTAAATAAACGCAATAGAATCCGTAAAAACTAGTATTATTTAAATACTGGTAAGTACTTACTTTCTTAGTAGCTAGAGACTTAGATGACTGTGATGATATCACCTAGCTGATGGTGGAGGACCCCGAAGGTGGGTTTAATAGATCTCAGCGACGTTACTCCATAGAACCATTGTGTTTGGACTCATTTGAAAGGTACTCATAAAGACCTAGATGACTGTGACGATTTCACCTTCCTTATGGTGTAATCCGAAGATAAGTTTAAAATCTCAGTGACGGCACTACATAAAACCACTGTGTTTGGACTCATTGGAAAGGGCTCATAAAGACCCAGGTAACTGTGGTAATCTCAAATACCTGATGGTGGACTCAATATCTGGGTAATAGATTTCAGTTATGCCACTACGTAGAACCATCGTTTTTAGACTCATTTAAATACCATGGTGCCTGTGATGATCTCACCTATCTGATGATGGTGGACTCCGGAGGTGAATATAGGATCTCAGTGACGGCATTAAATAGGATGATCATGTTTGACCTCATTGGAAAGGGCTCATAAAGACCTAGGTGACAGTTGGTGGTGCAATCTGAAGGTGTGTATAGTATCTCAGTGACAGCACTATTTTTATATTTTCATTATTTTTAATTTATAGGAGTCACGCAATTTTATCTGTGACATTTCTTAACTAAAAATTAAAATTTATGTCCCCCACCCAAAGGGCGAAGAAAATTCAAGAAAAATAATGAAAACTAAACTAAAAATATAGTGTACCAATATGTGTTAAGTAACTTAATACAATACGAAAAATTTATTATTTTATAAAACTCAACATACATATTTGATTATTGAGAAATGCCGTTAATTATCGCGTTGATGGGTGTGGTCACGACTTAACGCGTTAATTTGACAATAGCATCAACAATGCCGTTTGCCTTTTGGCGATAACTCGAGTGGTGGTACATTAAAGAGATTAACGCACGATATAACGCGTTGAAGCGACCACACTACGTTTGTCTCACTCTCACTGTGCAGTGCGCACAAAAGCGCAACCGGCATTGCACGTATGTTTACGATGGAGCGGTATAATAAAAAAGTTATTACGTTTCTTGAGATTCTGTAAAGTATGCTGTTGGTGATAAGTGACAGCTTTGTAAAAAAATGTCTAATGGATTTCAAACAAATAGAAATGTGTATTAAAAAAACGTTTCTAAGACTTTTTTTATAGAATAAGGATAAAAAAGGAAACAGTCTATCTAATACACTTAAATATTTACTTTAAATATTTGTATGCGTTGTTACACACTGACATAATTTATGAGGACTAAGATAGCTTTTAGCTAATAGCTTTGCTGTTGCACGTATGGGTCGGCTCAAACCGGGGTGTTTTTTTTTAATAAGTACGAGCAGCTATGCAGGTCTAGGGAAAGAGACCAGTATCACTGCGACCTAAAAGATCTATTGTGATCGCTGCTATGGCTATAGTTCACGGCTAAGCCCTATGTCTTTAATGAATAGAAGGAGTTGCTGAGCCGTGAGCAATTTCACTTCTTCTGGGCGGAGTACATAGTTTCCCAGATGAGTGTCACGTTTGCGCATTAAGGGTCCGCAATCAGTTAGTATGTGTAGAGGCGTTTCTTCCGTTATGGAACAGAACCGACACATCCTTGAGTTGCTTAGTCCCAGGATGGACATGTGCTTTTTAAGACAACAGTGTCCAGTTAGGGCTCTTGCCAGAATGCGCAATTTATTTTTACTTAATCCCACAGGGCTTCTGAAGCGAATTTACGATCAAAAGCCCGGATTAAAGTTTTAGAATGTTTTAAGCCTGGTGTGTCAGACCAGATCTTAAGTGATTTATTGTGATAAAGAGTTTCAAGGGTCAATCGGGCTAGGCTTCTTGAGATTCCACAAAATGGCTCAGGTCCAAATTGTATGCACTTTGAGACCTCCCGTGCAAGTTTGTCGGCAAATTCGTTGCCTACAACACCTTCGTGATGCGGAACTCATCTTAAAACGACCCTGTTGTTACATCCTAGGGCGTTTAAACGGTTCACGCAGTC